TCTAGTCTACAGCACTCATGAATCAGCATGTGTGAAATGCTGTATTAATATTTCCACAGCGAACGGCTGTTCTGTGAAGTCACAGGTGGTGGTATCGCTACAAATGCTGAGAAACAGCATGCTCTCTCAACTCAACCTGTGATTTACAACTACACATCAGATTACTATGAATCAACACACAGCTAATGTCTGTAATTTGCTATATTTTATGAAATTGAATAAAGCTTCGGTTTTAATGGTTAACTGCGTGTTAACTAGAGGGATGTAAACTGCATGGGAAATTATTATTTAGCGATGCACCTGTATCAGGTGTCTGGCTAATAATATCAGCTGATAATTATTTTCATGTTATGGCCAGAAGCCATAAATGAGCCATATTAAAATTATATACTATTTTGTCAAAATAAATTCAAAATACAAAAACAAAACAAAACAAAAATCAGTTGTTTTAAATGCTAGAAGTGAATTTAGACAGCACTTATATTAAAGATATAGTTACAGATAAAGACGAATACATTTTTCCGTTTAAAAACTAAAATATAAATAAATAAATACACTTTAAAACTACTAAAGTATAACAGTCTATATTATTATTTTATTATTAAATTTATATATATATATTTTAAATTGCACTATCCATATACAGACACACACACACACACACACACATCTTAAATGCATCTCATCTTAAACACACTTCAGCAAATTATACAATACTTTCATATACACATGTATATTTATACTTACATTAGTGTTTGCACTTCTGGTTTGATTCTTATTATTTCATTACCTTTTTACTGTACTGCACAATGACAAAAAATGAATATATATATATATATATATATATATATATATATATATATACATTGAGATCTATCCGTCTGGAAAAGGTTATAAAGCCATTTCTAAAGCTTTGGGACTCCAGCGAACCACAGTGAGAGCCATTATTCACAAATGGCAAAAACATGGAACAGTGGAGAACCTTCCCAGGAGTGGCCGGCCGACCAAAATTACCCCAAGAGCACAGCGACGACTCATCCAAGAGGTCACAAAGACCCCACAATAACATCCAAAGAACTGCAGGCCTTACTTGCCTCAGTTAAGACACCACTGTGTATATATATATATATATATATATATATAGTGTTTTTATCATTAAAATATTGTTTTTTTTATTATATTAAGTAATTAAAAACAATAAAATAATGTTTATTAATTACGTTTTATAATTTTATAATTAAATATCCAATATTGACCATTTTTGACATTTAAAAAACAAATCCCTAATATTGGCTGATGTACTGATGTAGTGTGCATCCCTAACTAAACGGTGACGTGCATCACATCTGTTGTGCATTCCTAACTATTAAACATTATTTTATTAAGCAAATCTTATTGCATTAAAAGATATACAGTCGTCCCTGATGGCCCATTCTATGTGTGCAGTACACGCCATTCTGACAAAAACTGCACAGAAACCAAAGCACCTGTAAAATATAACATTACGAGGGAGAATGTGAGTATCAATTCCCAGGAGCGGCTGTGATGAGAATCACCAGCAACACTATTACACGCTGCTCTTAACATCAGAGAGAAAGAAATGATCAGGGGTGATCACAAGTTTAAAGAGATCTGTGAATTCTCCCACATTCACAGAGCCAAGCAGATATAATATGTCCTGATCTGTGTCTTGTAATCCTCCACAACATACTTATTGTGATGACAGCAGCTAAAACCCTGTGGTTTTGTACGGAGGAAGAATGTGGGCTGGTGCCATATCAACGGCTATGATTTTGTATGGCATGTGTACAGATTCTATTTAAAGTGTCCATCATGGGCAAGGTTTTGGCAGAATTAATGTGATCTGTGAATAATGTTGAGTATAAATCTGCAGAGGCTGGTGCCAAACTCCTTTAAAAGCAGGCCAGTCCATCTCAGTACTGTAATACCCCGGCCAGCTATTTTGGCTCTAGCAACAGGCAGAAATAGCCAAAATTACACCTTTAACATGTTCCAAAGCCCCTCTCGGTTTGGGTTTACCTGCCCAGGCTGCCAGGCCACTGCTGTTTATTAAAGGCCCATCTATAAATCAGCAGGGCTGCAGACATCCCTCCGGCCCCAAACAGGACAGATTCTCTAAAAAACCGTGGAGGTGAGTGAGGACTCCCCTCTCCCATTCAGATGAATCGCCATGGAGATGAGCAGGCAGGCGAGGAGGGTGGAAGACCTTGAGAGGCATTTAGCTCAAGACGACAAATGCTTACAGCCAATATTCTTAATAGCCATGGTGGGAGACCAGCAACATCAGGCTCATCAAGAGGAATTTGCATATACTTTAGACCTAGTGTTTTTAATTTATTTAAAAAAAATGTATTATTTAAGGGGTAACACATAAAAATTAACACATACACTCTAATCATATAATATTAACATACATTTTTCATTTGCAATAAAAGAAAAAAATTCTTATCTAAAAATGTCTTTACCTGAAATAAACAAACTGAAATAAAATAATAATATAATAAAAATATTGATTGAAATTTAACATAACAAAAACTATAATAGTATCTCAACGATACTAACATTTTTACTAGAAATAACTGTGAAATTAATTAGAAAATTATTAATAAAATAAAATCTTTAAAGCTCCTCAAGAGGAATTTGCATATATTTTAAGCAGACTTTAAATGTTTTTAATTTATTCAGAGGCTCAACAATAAAGGATTTTTTATTGCTAGCCGCCAAACTTTTTTACTATAAAATAAAAAAAAAAAATTGTATATTACACTAAATATAATATAATACAACATAACATATAACATAACATAATAGAAAGTTAATGTTAATTTTATGATTTTATAAACTTTATTATATTTTTAAATTGCAATCAAACCTGAAAATGATTGCATAATTTGTTTTTAAATTATTAATTAACTTAATAAATAATTAAAATGATGTGCTAAATTAAGACATTTAATGAAGGAAATAGTGTGTCCATTATAAATCAACAGAGCTGTGTGTGAACACAGAAAAGCAAACAAACACACGCCAGTTATTCAATGACTATTTAAAATCTAAAAAATACTCTGTTTAAAAAAAACAAAAGTAAAAAGTTACTTGTTAACGCATTGCACCCAACACTGAAGTAACACTGCTTACATTTTTCTTACTGACAGCCCTAATTAATTTGATTTTCTTAACCTTAATGCAGGGAGTCAAACTGTAGCAAGCATAATTCTAGCAGCTCTAGTTTATGCACAGGCTTTATTGTACTGTGTCTCATTCACTCAGAATGAGCAAACCAAACGTCTTTATTTCCTCTGTGCACGGCGGCGGAACAGACTGCAATGGGAATGACAAAACAAACAGCAGCCTATGTTGCTGATAATAGTCCTACCCTGAAAGACACCTTCACTTACTGTTATTAATAAACATCTCTAGCTCACAATCACATAGACACTGAAGATAAAAAATAAATAAACTCCCATGCCACCGGTCATTGTGACATGATTACTCATATGAAGAGAGACGGGAGAAGGCCATATGACATGCCAGGCTGATGCAGGATTTTCATCCTCTGTCACGCTGACGTGAAATGAGCATGCGACACTGTGTTTGTCATGCCTCAGCTGCAGCACAGAAACCAAAGCACGTACTGTACACAGGCCTAAATTAATGAGCCGATTCCTTGAACCTTTTCAGTCTTCAGTGTCACATTATCCTTCAGAAATCATTCTGATATGCTGCTCAATTATTATCATTATTATCAATTATTACTGGTACTCAAATTTTAACTTTGGTTCTTCTTCTTATTATTATTATTATCAATGTTGAAAACAGTTTTTCTGCTCAATGTTTTTGTGTAAACCATGATATGTCGTCAAAGAATTCAAAAAAAATAAATAAATAAATACACTGAAGACTGAAATTCAGCTTTGCCATCACAGGAATAAATTACATTTAAAAAATTTGTTTTAAAATATATTTAGTGTATTTTCGATCAAATAAATGCAGCCTTGGTGAGCACAAGACGCTTCTTTCAAAAATATTAAAAAATTGTAATTATTCTTAGCTTCATCTGCACAGAAAAAGAAATAAATTATATTTATGTGTTTGTTGCTCAAGCTGAACCAAAGCTGAACCACAGCTGAACAATAATTGAAAAAAACATTTTTTTCTGCAGGTCTGCAACATTTCATACAAATACAAATATATATAATAAATATATAACTTAGCTATAAGTAAATCTGAAATTCACAAATAATTTTGATGGAAAAAGATGGCATATGGTACAAAATATTCACTAAAATTATGCTATGTAATTTTCAACCTAATGTAACTGACATTGCCAACACGAGTCACTCTTGCAAACAGAAACCAAAAGTTTAAGTTTGCATTGGGGCATAAAAAAGTAAGCAACTGGTCGCATGCCACTTCCGTTAACTAGCCTAAAAATTCCTCACAATGGCCACGGGACATTACTGTTGAGCTCTGCTAAATCATCCCTTTGAGTCCAGACTACATTTCTAAGTAGAGGACTTTCTGGATATGCATTACCCCAATTCCAGGACACCAGCAACAGTTGAGTTGAAAAATACACATCCATAAGACACACCACAATCATCTTACTTGACGCAAGACAAGCAATCACCTGCTGCTATGAAGAAATTACTTTATAGTGCAAGAAAACTGATCAACAATGATAATTTGTTTGAGCATCTATAATGGAACAGTGATTGCATATGCAATCAAAACACACAGCCGAGATTATCAGTGCCTGATTAATTTAAGTTCAACAAAGGAAGAAATGTTCAAAATGAAAGCTCACAAGATTTAAAAAAGCAACAGTGTGCTAATATTAATGAAGATGATAATTAGATTGAACTGGTGCTTAATGAGATGTATTGTTCGTTTGGCACCAGTATGTAGGGAGGGTTGAGGAACTTCAAAAGCTAAAGGAGTTGTGCGTCTGTATAATTGAGAAATGATACACTCCCAACCTCTGCCAGCAGAAAGAAAAGACTCCACCAGAGTCAGATTAGCATCTGAATGCCTTCTTAGTACTGTTTTCACTGGATAAGTTCAGCCCCCCTAAGGAATCTGCTAGGATGATAAGACAGAAGCCTAGATGAAGAGGGAGAAAGGCAATCAAAGGAGTGAAGAAAATCAATCCAAATGTATGTGTGTGTGTGTGAGGGAGACGGATTGTCGAGTGTGAAGTTTATCCGTGACTGATGCCTCTATAGGAGCTGATTAAGGCTCTACTGCCAACAACAAGTTTTTTAATTTTTTTGTTTTTACAGGTGTCTATGTTCACAGGCACAGACAGTATTGTGTGATGAGTTACGAAATGAGAACATTAAAAAAAATCCAGTTTCTTGCCAAATCCTATATTTGCTGTCTAATTACAATACCAATGTGCACAATATCACTAATATACACTACTGTTCAAACTTTTGGGGATTTTTTGTTTTTTAAAGAATTTAATACATTTATTCAGCAAGGATGCATTCCATTAATTAAAAGTGACAATAAAGACATTTATAATGTTACACAAGATTTATATTTCAAATAAATGCTGTTCTTTGAACTTTGAAAATCCACAGAAATGTTAAACAGCATGACTGTTTTTAACATTAATAATAAGAAAAGAAAATCTCCAAATCACACATTAGAATGATTCCTGAAGGTTCATGTGACACTAAAGACCAAAGTAATGGCTGCAGAAAATTCAGCTTTGGCATCACAAGAATAAATGACATTTTAAAATATACTGAAATAGGAACCAGTTCTTTTAAATTATAATAATATTTCCACAATATTACTGTTTTTACAATTGTTTTGTTCAAATAATTGCAGCTTTGGTGAGCACAAAGACTCAAAATCATTTTTTTTTTTAATTACAAAAAAAACTTACAGACCCCAGACTATAACATAGTGGATGTCATCTTAATCATCAAAATATGTCCATTAATTTATCTGAAATTACATCACATGTCTAAGCAGACAATTTACTCTTGTGAGGCAATTCTTTTAATGAATCAGACTCACAAAACTTTCATATTCTTGTTTTAAATGAGTCTAATGATTCTCTCACTTACTGAGACAGTGGTTTTTGACTCTCTCACTGATATGCATTATTGTATGCGTCCAACTCAAAATGGTGCTAATGTCTTGAAATGACCACATAATTACTTACTGGTTGTTAAAAACATAAGTTCAGAACAGAGCTCTGTCTGAACAAATGTGGTTTAAAAAAGAAATGCTATAAAAATCTGAATTTTTTTGTTTGTTTAGTATAGCAGTGACCAATTATTCTTCTAACACATCCCAAGTGATTATCATTTTTAACTTTTTGACAGTGACATAAACAACCAGTAGTTCACGGCAATAATTATTAAGTTCTGAGATCAAAAGCCAGTTCAACCTTTAAAGTCTGAACGCTGTGTGAGCCGCTCATTTTCAGGCACCTCACATTAGGGTTTTCTGGCTGCTCTTGCATATCACCTCGGTAACAAATACATCGGCAAATATACGTGATTATCACTCACTTCAGTGATAACATTATAACAGCCGTGGAATGTAAATGATTAAAGATAGAACACGCACTTCAGTGAAGAACAGCATAGTAAGCATGAGGAGACGCTGCTGCGACCTTATTAGAGGTTCTCTCCCCATCATTTCTCCTCTTAAAGTCTACTATTCTTTTAATATATTCTGTTCTCTCAACTCTCTCTGCTTCTTCCTGACAGTGTTTCTTTTCCTCTGTGCATGCATTTCCTTACATGCTGTCTGTCAGTGCCGGCTGGCTGCAGACCTGGTCTTGGGGGACTGTGTAGCCGTGAGCTCGGTCCAAAGAGGATCTGCCAGCCTATGTGTGGGTTTGTCTGTTCTCCAGGGTCTGGAGGGCAAAGATCACCAATTCCAGGTTTCTCTCGAGGGATGTGTTTAAAAAGGCATGGGAGAACTATAAAGAGTCTGCTGAGGGAACCATGAGGTGCTTCTTAAGAATGTAGAAAATAGGTGAATATAAAGTCCACCAGAGAGGCTAACAAGAATAGTTCATGCATAATTGGCATTTTGTCATAGTTTACTCACTTTCATATCATTGCAAATGTGCAACCTGAAAGAAGATGTTTTGTACATGTCCAGGTTACTCTGTTTTCATACAATCAAAACCAATCAATTAATCAATCATAGCGACTGCAAAAATTTTTTTTATCAGATTATTCTACATATATTTATTTTATTTTATACATATTTTACTTAAAATTACATAAAATAATGTCATAATTTATTTATTTGTTGTTTATGTATTTGTACACTTTTAAACGCTATGGACTTTATATGGTCTTATTTTATTTACTCTATTGATCAAAAGTTTGGGGTTTTAATGGTTTTCTTTAGTCTCTTATGCTTACCAATGCTGCATTTATTTGACCAAAAATACAGTAAAATTGTGAAATATTTGTACAATTTAAAATAACTGTTTCCTATTTTATATATATTATAATATATACAATATATCTAATATATTGTAAAATGCTCAAAAGAACAATATTTTAAAGTGCAAAAGAACAGCATATATTTAAAGTGTAATTTTTTGTAACATTATAAATGTCATTTTTTAACAATTTAATGTGTCCTTGTTGAATAGAAGTATTGTTATTTATTCACTTTTTTATATCTGTCCGGTAGTGTACAGGTAGTGGCAGAAAAAAAACACTGTCTATGGAAATGAACAAAATGTAAATAGAATGTAATGACATTTGAAGAAACAAATGAACATTTGTATTTATGCATGAACCATTCCTTTAAAAACAGCAAGCACTAATTAGCCACATTACTGTCAACACAATAAAAACATTTCCTACAAATAAATGATAAAGCAAGCAGTTCTGTACTGTAGAAAAAAAAAACAGTTATTAAAGGCTCACTGAATAAATTACACTAAGTGCAAACTGTTACAGAAAATGCTTCCGGTTTATAAAGTGTCAAGCTTGCCAAGAGAGTTGTAGCTGTTCTTTGACTGATCATGTCATTCAATAGGAGTGAAGAGAATTTCAAACGACTGCTATTTAACTTCGTGGGAGTAAATCTACGGCTGTCTGTGATCGTAAGTGCTGTGTGACAGAAGTCATGATTAATGAGTCAAGGCCACAATTATTCCCCTCACAAACTCTATATTAGTCAACAGCTCATGCAAGGACAGTCCTTTTTTCAGTACAAAAAAAAACATATGTCTAAAGCCTTTCCAACATGCGCAATACAAACCTTTAAGTGCTTGGTCACATGGTTATTTACACACATGTAAGAAAGGCAACAGTCGGACACTGATTAGCAAGCAGATGTTGTAAATAAAAGGAATCCAATTACCTGTGATGATGGGCATCCGAGATCCACATGCAAGCATGAAAGAGAAGAGAAAGTCACTATTAGATTAATGTTCATTCAGTGCTCTGTGCTATTAAAAAACGCAATTACATTCAAGTCATTTAAACAGCATTAATATATAGTTGTCAGAGATTCAATGATTCAAAATGGCACATTCAAGGACAAACGTTCTGTTTTTCAGCGACCAGTGCTCAGTGAGACGCAAAGCCATTTTTTAGACTAGAGAAACTACTGAAGCAAACACTAAAGAACTCAGTTCTCAGGTCGTGAGGTGTATGAAGTTGTAACACTGCTTGACTTTGAATTGAATTTGAATTACCATCCTAAAATACAGATCACAGGTTCAGATTTCAGAAACTGTCTATCTTTGAGAACAGATGACAAAGCAACCTCCTCCACCTTTGTTTCAAAACTGTTTAGACATCTAAATACATCTAGTCAGAGGTGGGACCAAGTCATTGTTTTGCAAGTCACAAGTAAGTCTCGAGTCTTTGCATTCAAGTCTCGAGTCAAGTCCCGAGTCAAGACAGACAAGTCCCAAGTCAAGTCCCGAGTCAAGACAGGCAAGTCCAAGTCGAGTTGCAAGTCCTCATCTTTAAGATTCAAGTCTTAAACAAGTCATTAGTGCTTTTTGCCCAAATTAGTGTCTCAGTATTAATTACCATATCAAATTCATAGTAATTTATATCAGGAAGGCAGGTAGAATATTTGACATAGTTCAATTTCATGTGAGATGGGTGCCCTTAGTAAAACTACTCATGTTCAATTTAGGAATTGTGCCAAAATAGGATAAGCAGTGAAAAAAACGATTTTATTAGTAACAGTATAGCAAAGACAACATAATTTCATAGAAATAACAGCTGCAACATACTTTGCATGTGTGCAAAAGAATATATGCTTCTAAGTGTTATATCTAAGCCAATGAGACATTATTTGGAACCTCAATGAAACAGATTTAAAAATATGTGAGCGGAAACGCAGAAAGAACTGCTTTGAAAGAACTCGAAGAAATAACTGCAAGCATACTTTGCAAGTGAGAGGAAACATGCAATATGGATGCAGACAAACTCATGAAGACAATCATTCAAAAATGCTGTGCTACCATCCTTTATAACTAAGAGTAACAAAGACAAAATCATTTAATAGAAAAAATGTTAAGTTTATAATATGCATAGCAGATCGCTAAATTTAGGGGCTGTGTGCGCTATTGGCCTACAGACTAATTTACAACACGTGAATTCATTCATTTATCCCGAAAGAAATGGAAGTGACGTGAGTGCCTGGTGAAGAGGGAGAAAAATTGAGTAGCCTCATTTACTCATTTTGTGAAAGAAACACTTCTTCAAATTATATTTTAAATGATCATTAGGCCTATTGCCACTTGCTCACTTCAGACATTAGGCCTAATGTGCATTTTTCTTCTTCAAATTATAGCTAAATGGTTTGCAGTGATTAATTTTAAATCTAGATTAAATCAAGGTTTATCTAATAATTCTGTTGCACCAAACTTCAAACCTTTAAAAATAAGCAGGTTTACATTTTTAACCCATCATTTTGATCGGAT